TTTTTTTTTTTTTTTAACTGGAACTTGGAGAGGCACCAAGGCTTGCCAGGACTCCAGTCTCCAGCAACAGCTGCCCACCTGCTGGCAGCTTACCCAAATTGCAGGCACAGCACCCCTCCCACTCAGGCATCACAAAGCAAGGTCCTCTGGCCCCACTGTTTTACCTCTCAGTCACTTCAGCAGAGGAGCCAAAACTAACACATCACCTAAAAAGGCCCTCCACATTCCTGGCTGGGGATTCAACAGGGACATATGTGCAAGAGTGATGAGAGATTTAAGGAAGTTTTTCATTGCTTTCCTTTCCGGTCTGTTTCAGAGTTCACAGGGAGCCTGGAAACTCAAGGCTGTGTAGTTTAATACAACGCGAGAAATTTACCATTGAAAGGCTGCGAAATTTGAGTTCTGATCCCTTGCTGGGATGTCTGGGATTCTAGGCAAATTATCTACCTCTGGGTTCTCCCGAAAACACTGAGATTGTTGGCTAAGAGACTGAGATTTCAATCTCAAAGATAAGACTAAATCAGGTTTTGTAGATTTCCCTGCAGCAGGTATGGAGAAAGAATTGAGTTTCAAGATGATAATACCTGCATCTCCTTCTTTAGATTATCTTAAATGACATAACGTCTTTCAAAGATGGATTTGATATTGGTCAAACAATCAAAAGTGAAGTTAGGTGACACCAAGTCTGATAAATAAAGTGGCTAGTTAGGCTTAATAGCCTAAGGGTTTTGATCAAAGGGAAGTCTCTGTAAAATATATATGCATATGGGCAAAGATGTACCTTGGGAAAACATTTTTATTAATGTTATACCAACACGAATTGTTTTTTTCCTCAGGATTTCTCTTATTTTCAGTAGAATTAGCATCAATAGCAGTATTAACAAACAATGGGAATACTTATCATTTATTCTTTATTATGTGCCAGACATTAACTAACATCCGCTTACCCAATGTAAATAATAAAATGGGGTATTTTTGTGAAAATGGAATCGTAAGAGAAATTGGTTTTGTTGCTGTTGTTGTTTTAAAGTTTTTTTTTTTTTAACGTTTATTTATTATTTTTGGGACAGAGAGAGACAGAGCATGAACGGGGGAGGGGCAGAGAGAGAGGGAGACACAGAATCGGAAACAGGCTCCAGGCTCCGAGCCATCAGCCCAGAGCCCGACGCGGGGCTCGAACTCACGGACCGCGAGATCGTGACCTGGCTGAAGTCGGACGCTTAACTGACTGCGCCACCCAGGCACCCCGCTGTTGTTGTTTTAAACAAAAAGTTTTTAAAGATTTTTATACTGGTTTCTGCAGGCATTTACACAGGTGGAATTTGAAAACAATGTTTGATGCAATGGGTATAAAATGGGGAATGGTGGCCACAGCATGGGCCACGGGTCCATATTAGAGTTCCCTGGGAACGTTGGCCACATCTACCCTTGGCCCACCCTATTTCTGTTTTTTTCCAAGCCCCCAGCTTCTTTCGTGTGTGATGTGGGGTAGCCTCAGGCCTATGTTTTCTGTAAGAGATACCCAGGGGATTTTGATTCATCCATCCCCAGCCACGAACCACTGAATAGATCCATGGTTTCTCTCTTTCTTTTATCTTTTTCGTTATTGATTCCTGTAAGGAAACTTCTCAGAAATTATTTTTCTAATCCCACTCCCCACCCCCCCATGAAACATTAATACCACAGATACGCTGCATATCTGATTAGGTACTATATGTATATTTGTACTCTGTCCATAAGAATAGTAAGCCTTCTTTGCCCCCAAGGACCAACTTTCACCCCTCTGGGGACCATCTAGAGCTTCTCAACGTGAGTCCTTTGTAGAACATACTGGTGTGGATGTGAGTTTTTCAAATAAAAATGTATAAAGTCAGCATATTTGTTAGACATCAGTCACATTACCGTATAAATCATACCCCATTCCTCTCTCTTTTCACTAGTGGTTGTTATATTTTCTTTTGTTTCTCTGCTTGACAGCAGCCAGAATATCCCTCACCCTTCTCTCTTCAGTAAGTTTGACAGTTTCATTTCTCAGTTATTTTTCCGCATTTGCATTTGGCCCCCTCCTGCTAGTTACGTCCCTTCTCCATGTGGCCTCGTTCTCTTTGGGGGCTCATTTCGGTATTGACTGTGGCCTTGCCTTGAACCCGTCTTAAAGGTGGTCCTAGAGAGGCACAGGCTGTTTTCACAGGCCTCATCATTTTCATTTCCACCTCAGATCTTTCTCTTGTTTATGATCTTCTTTCTAGATATGGGGACATGAGAAAGGAAATCGGCTTTAGAATCCGGGACATGTGGTATAACCTGGGTGAGTGTATGACCTTGAACCGTACAACTCCCGTGTAATAAGCATCCCACGATGGGTTCTTTTCTATTTTAACTCCCAATAACCCTGACATTTATTTGCCTGTGTGTCTAGAAGAGAAAGTTGACTTGTCAGTCTTTCATTATAACATCCATATGTTATCAGAAGACGATGTTGTTTAGTCACTCACTTCTGAATTTGAGTTGGTGTACCCACATGACCTTTTCCATTTCTTCCGTAGAGGAAGGTGGGAACACTTTACTGCCACTGAAATCACTTTTTCATATCCCCGCTTACTTTCATTTCAGGTCCCCACAAAATCAAATTTATCCCCTCCATGGTGGGTCCCATTCTGGAGGTCACACTGACCCCCGAAGTAGAGCTCCGGAAAGCCACCATCCCCATTTTCTTTGACATGATGCAGTGTGAGTTCAACTTCAGCGGAAACGGCAATTTCCATATGGTAAGGAGTGGCAGAACTTGAATCTTACTCATGTGCAGATAGTTGCCTCTTGCTTGGTTTCTTTCTCCACCAAGAAGCAGTAGCCTGAATTATACAAATCGAAGTTGCTTTAAAAACTTTATTTACTTTTCACGCCGTAAAGCAGTTAGAGGGAGAATCAGGTATTTCTCCACGTGGCCTAGAAACCCTTTTCACTGCATGTGTTTAACTGTCTCTGGGTAATTAAAATTTGACATCATGCGTTTTAAGCCTGCCGGTTGCAGTGTAGCTGAGAACATAATGCAGTGGGTTGGGGAAAAGATGCCGAGGCCTCTCTGGTTTTGAGGTCTCTCTCAATTTGCATGTCTTTCCCATGCCTCAGTTTCCTTATCTATAGAGTGCTTTGGAACCAAAGAGGTCTTGTAGCTGTGAAGTTCTGCAAAAGCAAATTCCATTGCCAAGACAGCCAAGAAAAAAAATAAAATAGATAATTAGAATTATTAGGATTAGTCAAAACAGGAAGATAATATTGGGGGATTTTTTTTTTTCCAAATGTAAAGCAAAGGACAAAGTAACATGAGACTCGTCTAGAGAGTTTTGATGGGGCTCTGGTACCTGATTAATGGATGACATGAATTATGATCTTCCCTATAATATGTTGGAAAGTGTTCACAGTTCAATAAAGGGGCTGTGTCAAATCTAGAAAGGTTGGCGGGGCGTCTTTCGTGGCTTCTTCGAAGGGTATCTGGCGTTCTCCTGGGAAATTCTAACTCTGCTTTCAGTTTGAGAATGAGCTGATCACAAAGCTGGACCAAGAGGTAGAAGGGGGCAGAGGAGATGAACAATACAAGGTCCTTCTGGAAAAACTGTGAGTATTACAGAAACAAAGCCTCAAAGTTGACGCATCATGTAGTGAGGGAGAGAAGCAGGCTTCTGCAGCATGGACAGCCTAGTCGAGGAGTCCCGGGAAGCTCTGGGGTCACCGCCACAAATGGTCCCGGGGGGGGGGGGGGTTTAATGGAGTTTACACCATCCACTGTTGACATTTGTTTGTCTGATGTGAGTCAAATGTCCGTGTTTTCCTGGCCAGCCCGGCCCCTCGAGAGCAGAGCAGATGGAAGGTGCAGGGGGGCGGGGGATATACAGAGCGATGGCATTTTGCCCAGTGTTTGAATTGCTGAACTTCACCAAAAGTGCTATCGCCTCTAATTATAGCTTCAAAGCACCATTTAAAGGAGGAAGGAAAAAACATTTCAAAGTCCACTTTACCTTTAAAAATACCTTATGCCCTATAGAGGGCCTCTAAGAACACCTGTTACATCTCCAGCCAGGCTGGTCATTGCACTGCCCTACGCACCTCCCCCGCATCCAACATTTTTATTCTCTCTCTGTAGTTACTCCCTACCCCCCCACACCTACCCCGCACACCCCTCCTGCCCTCTGAATTCTCCTTTGCTCAAATGGAATTACAGTGTAAAAGTGTGGTTCAAAACACGTGGAATTTGGAGTTAAAGAAACCTTCAAATCCCGTTTTCTCCATATTCTAGAAACGTGCCTTTGGACAAGTGTTCTAATCTCTCCGATGGCCCTCTTTTTTTTCGTCTACACTAACAGCATGTACACTTTGGTAAGGGTTGAGGTGTAAATGAGGTGATGCATCAGAATAGTGTCTATTACAGAGCCCATGCTGACTGAGCGTCCCTGCTCTGGGTTTGTGCTGGTCACTGCTGTCATCCTCACGTTCTCTGTCGTCCACGGCGCTCACTACCCTAGACTAGTCATTTCTTGTGTCCTCTGAGCCTTTGTGATTTTGACCAGCTGTGTCACCTGTTGATTGGATATGCGCCCCGGTGGCTTCGTTGGCCACCTCTTTTGTGGGTGTGGCTCGTACTAGACCGTGCTTGAGGATAGGTACTCCCAAGGTCGTTTTCTTCTTCTTTCTTTTTTTTTTTTTTTTTAAGATTTAAAAAAGCCAGAACACTGGGTGCTCAGGAATGGAGCTGAATTGATAACTCAGCTGTATTTTCTTTTCTTTTGTTTTTTTAATGTTTATGTTTCAAGAGACAGAGCGTGAGCGGGCGAGGGACAGAGAGAGGGACAGAGGGACAGAGGGAGACGCAGAATCTGAAGCAGGCTCCAGGCTTCGAGCTGTCAGCACAGAGCCCGACACAGGGCTCGAACTCAGAAACCACGAGACCATGACCTGAGCCAAAGTCAGACGCCTAACCGACTGAGCCACTCAGGTGCCCCTCAGATATATTTTCAAGAACCAAACGTCTTTCTTGTTTCATTTTTAGCGGATGACAAGACCCATTTGTTGATCTTTTCATCCCATTTCCATTAAGTCCACCTGTTTGAGTTACCCACCTGCCACATAATCACTTTCGTGATTCAGATCTCATAAGGGGATTAAATGGAGAAATTATGTACATATACACGTACACAGTTTACAAATGATAAACTACCCATTTTTTAAATCCCAAGCTGACTTTTCACTGTCTGGTGTTTCGTTTGTTGGTTTGTTTCATTCCTTCTGAGTCTCAGAACAATTTGACTCTACAAATCTCCAGTGCTCAAGAATAATCCTCAAGTCTGGGCTAATTCTTTGAACCCGTTTCTTTCTCTTTTTTCCTCTTGTTCTCTGAGTGTTTTTTCCAGTTGTCAAATCTGAGAAGCCCCTATAGAAGCTTTTCTCTGTTTGAGTCCAACAAAATAGGATTCATACCAAGCCTCAGTTTATTTATTTACAATTTTGTAGTTTTGTGGCGGTGGCGGTTTAAATAGTACTTTTGTCCGAAGAGCCACATGTCTGGATGTGCACTAGATTCCTTGTTTCCTCTAGACCGGGCGTCGATCCAAGGCTTTCCAGAACGTCCACAGGATACCCCGAAGTGCTAGGCCTTAGGGAGAATAAAGACATAGAAAATTCTAGATGGTCTCTTTCAACTTCAGTTAGAGTGATCAGATAGCATACACACACCTTTGGGGCAAAGGTTTCCATTTCTGTGGCGTCGACAAAAGACAAAAAACGAAGACAGATAGAAGCTGAAAGATGGGCATTGTGGGCTGGGGTTCTAAGTGACAGTGGGATTTGAGCCACAGCCCTGAAGACAACATAGAACTTGAGCCACCAGGAGGTACAGCGTAAGAGAAGGCGCCGAGAGAGAGGGTGTGTTTCT